AAGAAAGTCAAACTTAACTGCCTCTCTGTTATCCTGCTGAGATGTGCAAATTAAAAATCTTCCACACTGTCATTTTTTTTCCCTTTATTGTAGTTCACAATACATGTAGAAATCACATAGACTACAGTACTAAAATGGCAGTACAGTGTGTATATCTCCAGAGGCAAAGTATGAAAGCTTAAATGTGATAGAATGCTGGTTTTGTTATTTGTAGATAGTCCTGTGTGAACCATTGGGAAGAACAGACAGATCACTTTTAAAGTTTTTTTTAAACCTCATTATTCTTAGTTTTTCCTAAACCATTGATATTTGAAAACATAAATACAATTTATATTTGAAGTAGGTAGCTGTGTCAGCATGCATAGGCTGCTAAGGAACAAGTAAGGGTTTATTCCATGCTGAAAAGAGCCTTCTCCACAGCTGAAATGTGTTTCTTTTCTTCTCCTTTCAGCAGGGAATAAACCTTTACTCTTTTTCCTTTGCAATTTATGCCTGGTTCTGTGGTACAAGACCCTTAACATCTCAGTCACAAATCACCAAAAAGGTATTGATCAGTTTCTTTTGGATTGACAGCAACCACCTTGTAACCTGAGCTCAACAGGTTTCAGAAACTAAATGAGGCTGGATCTCATACGTGCTGGGATGGGAGACTGAGGAAAACCAGGTTACTGGTTAGTGTTTAGTGGACCAGTTGGTGGCGATCTGCCTTCAACACCAGAATTTCCTGTCCATTTCTCTGGTTTGCTGACTATGAACAGTGTGCTTTAAGAGATGCTGTGTTTTGGAAGAGATGTTAAACTGAGGTCATAGGAAAATCCCGTGACATATCGTAAGTGTAGTGGTTTTACTCTGATGTCCTGGCTCAGTTCCATTTTGATTGGTACTGTCTGGCCCATCTAAATGTTTTTCCCTTAATTCATTTTATTTGGTTAAGTAAATTCCCACTTCTCCGCCTGATCTGCTGTCCTACTTTGAGATGGAAACTACAGTAGAAATGCAAAGAATTACTAGTAACTAGTAGTAGCAACTGTAACTCTTTAATTTTAGTTAATAATTAAATGATAAAGATCACAAAACACCCAGTTAAAGATTAAACTTGAAGGGTTTCAATAATGAAACCAGTT